AATCGGGGAACTCCTCGTTTGGCACAAGGTGAAATAGAATTGTATGGAGAAATTGAACAAATAGTAGTAGGAAAAATCTTCCTACAACTTCGATTTTGTCGGTATCAAATATGTCCATCCGGATGCTTTTGTCTTTGTTTCACTATTGAAATCGGCGGAAAATAACCGGAAGCAATTTTACAGCGTCTTGAATGAACACGTAGGAACGATTTTCCTATGATTTGGACAGCCAATCAAATAGCTCAAAACAGAGAAAATGCGACCAATAGGACACAGCAATGGGAGGCTCTCATTCATGAACATGAGTACCAACAGCAATTTCACCATTGAAGGAGCGCGTCGCAGTCGCATCGCAGACTGCACACGACTCGGATACTTGTCCGTAATTAAGCAGGTAGTCAACTGGGCAATCATGACATGGAAGCCAGAGCTCCTGATGCCAAGCACCGAGCATGTGGGTCGCATGACCTTAGATCTGTGCGTGTTTGCGTTGGAGAACTTTTTGGAGTTCATTGTCTGGACAGTGCGGGAGCGAGATGTTGGGCTAGGCGCCCTCAGTGGCTACCGCAGTGCAGTGAAGAGTTTGTACATCGATCCAGGCGCATGACCTCCCGGAGCCATACGACAGCGACATGAAGGTTATTTTTCGGGTACATTCATGGAAAAAATGAAATAAAGGTGGTTTAGGGATTCGAAAGTCCATCGCCCAGAACCTTCAAAGTGGATCCAAGGAATTTACTGGCAAGTGTCCAATGTCGTTCTCGGTGTTTGAACAACTTTGCGCGGCAAGCATGGGCCTGCCCGATTGCGGATTTAGGCATCTCTACCTTGTCCTCTCGTGGAACTTGATGTGCCGCTCCAAATCTACGGAGACGATACGGTACCAATTTACTTTATTCAGAGCAAAACAATATCCATTAAAATTTCGTGGTAGATTCGAGCACATATCATGTGAGGACGATGCCATTGGGTTCGTCTTTCATAAAACTAAGACAAGCCAAGAAGGTATTATCGCAGTTTTTGTTTCGATTGGTTGGCGTGGAACAATATCGTTGAACTATTTGTAGGAAAAAAATCAAGGACCCAAATATTGCTTTGCGAACCCTCAAAAGCCACAAGTGTGTTTGTTTTTAGCAATGGGAATTTATTTGGCGTGCAACACTCAAATCTTGCCCAACAATCTTTTTCCTGGGGCGAACCAAAAGGTATTTGTTTCATTCGATATACAAATTAAGGAATAAACCCCTCTGCTCAACCCTTCCTCTTCCAATTCTACTGCGAGCGTATTCAAGGTCGCCAACTCCACTGTATCTGTCGTCGACAATGTTATCTTGGCGTCCCCTCTACTCACAACACCACGCACCACCACGAGTGGTCATCTGTCCAGTTTGGCAGTGTCCAAGTTGGCCGGTAGTGCACTTGCCAATGTCGCCCAGTTAGCCGCTCGTGCCATCAACGTTTCGTCCGTCTCGAATCACACGAATGCTTCAACTTTTGCGCCTTCTACTGCAGACATCATGACGCCTCCTCCATCCACCTTGGCCAAGAACAATGCCACCAACGCGACGAACAAGTCCATCGAGAGCATTCTCACGTCACAACTCCACAAACTTCCTCGCCCACTGCACCAGTCGTCCCACAACCGCCTCAGCCCCAACCCGCCCCCATGACAACGTCGGCGTCTGCGGCGACTGTGGACTCGAACGCCCTCGCTGCCGAATGCACCGACGTATATGTGCCGCTCTGTCATCCTGGCATTTCTTCCACAAATGCCGGGTACACGACCGGGTTTGTGAAGCGTCTGCGGGCGAAGTCTTGGGCAGCCGACATCCCCGTCGTTTTGTTCGTTCCCGGTGGCCCTGGGGCGAGTTCCGTATCACGTAAGCCACGTACGGGCCCGCAGCAGCGCGTTTTCTAGCGTCGTATGCAACACTATTGTGTACTCGGAGCTGTGGCAGACCAGTCCGTCGTCGCCGTCTGCGGCGCAGTTGACACAGTGGGCACGCGAGTCGGCATTGAGCCAAGGCTACGAGCATCAGGCGAATGATTTCGTCGCGCGGTACTGCCTCTACGCCGGAACAAGCAGCGACGACACCTGCGCCGGCCGCCCCAGTGTTCACTTTACCTACGAACAAGACGTGTACTGGAACCAGACGGCAACAATCCCGTCCGGCGCAAGTGTCGTCATGTTTGCTGGCGGACTCGACTTTCAAACGCCGACGAGACGAGTTCAATGCGTTGGCGGGTGACAACAACGGTGCTGTTGGAATTCGCCACGTCCGCCCATGGCATTCTGTCGCTCTCGATTATGGCCGTGCCTAGCGACGACATTGAGGTACGATTTGTTTCAGTGGTAATGACGTCATGGCGACTCATGGGATGATGGCGTGCCAGGACACGGACATCGCGACCGACATCTTTGGCCAAGCCAATGCGTACGCCGATGATTTGGACGACTCGCTGGCCTTGGCCGCCACCCCGACCTCCGTCATGCCATCATGGTGGGTGTTGGGGGCAGTCGTTGCCAGTGCGAGTCTTGCCGCGTGGTTATGGCAAGCACTTGGTCATCGCCACGTCGGTCGTCACGAGTATGCACCTGTAACCTTGGTGCACGTCGTCGATTCCGATCGCAGCGTCTTGAGTTGAACCGCTCCATCCCCGACCAAATTTGTCCAAATCTGCTTGCATTCACCGCCGATGACGAACCGATTCGATGAAAAATCTACTACTTGGAAACGAATGCAGTTGCATCATGGATGCCTGGAGAACAAGGTCGAGGTGTCTGCTGTGCAAAGCAATGCCCTGTTTCGATTCTGCTTTCAATTCTTTCGCTCCCTCTTTCGGCACAAGCCTTTTTTCAGCCATCAGCTACGACCCGACTTGGTTTCATGGGCTCTCGACTTGCCAACTTAAAAGTCGACTGCCTAGTCGACCGCATGACTTGCCAAAATCAGAAGCATCGTGCCCAGTGTGGATCGTTGCTCTTTGCGCTCGACTGGGGCGACACCATCGGTGGTGAATACACCGTCCACACCAAACGACTCCTTGATGAATCGAGAGTCGCGGAGGTGTGCAATGGACTCTGCAGTGGCAGCGACAACGGCATGGGTGCATGAGAACGTGACGGCTTTTGGCGCGATATATCGATGGCAGTCGCAGCCTCGCGACTTGGAACGAACTGCACGACCGAGAACGAGCTGAACATTCAACGAGTTGCTATCGCTGCTGCAAGAGAGTTTCTTCAAATTAGCACCGAGTCCACAATGGAAGCTGTATCGTCGTCGTCCCCGTTCTCGTCGGTCCCATCATCTTCATTTTCATCTTCCGTCGCATTGCCCTGCTCGTCGCCCGACGCTTCGTCGTCCTCATCGCCGTCGTTGGTCGCATCGTCGTCCGCTTTCGACTCGTCTTCGGGGTCTTTCGAACGTGGTTTGTCCTTGTCTTCTTCGCTGTCGGCATCCCCTCGGCTCTCCAGTTCCTCGAGCGCATTGCGCACCGCGCGGTCAATCTGGGCCTGGCGCATCCTGATTTCGTCGGCCGGGCGGCCGACCTACAGTCCAATCGACCTTCATCAGACATGACCCCGTCCATGAGGGTGTGGCGAATCCAGCAGCATCAACATGACCATGTTGTGCCCCAGATCAACACCCACCGCAATCGGAAGCATACCGTGGTCACAATGTGCAATTTGAGCATTTCCCGAATTGGTGGAAACATGCACATGGGGTACCACCCACCCCACACGCTCGCGGACGACCGAAGCCTACGCCCGAATCGGTGGCGCCGTCATGAGAGGTGTCGATTCTCCAGCACGTACCGCTTTGAAAACGGAGCAACCAGCTCTTTGACCGCTGGGTTTTGAGCAATGAGGTCGCACAGTTGGACGTAGAAGAAGCCTTCGCGAAGTGGCACGCCATAGATAACCAAGGTTGCATTCGGCCGGTCGTCGCCCGTGGTTGCCTTGACGGTGGCTTGGGACCGGTTGTGCGCTTTTTTCTTCTTCAGGTGCATCGCGACCTTGTCTTCGGCATCGTTGACTTGGAATACCATGTTCAGACGGGATCGATACGGCATCCGGCGATGCGACTTTTTGGATTTGGGTAGCAGGGACGTCATCGACTCGCTCATGAGGCGTCGAGTTCCTCGGATTTCAACGAGCTGCAGCCTCGTTACACGAAGCATCTCTTGGGATAGAGTGTTTTACCTGATACGGCGCTGCCGACGGCGTCGTCCGTGGATCGTAGCCCAGTCGAATCCACATGCCTCGCCATGGACCATTCACGAAAATGTAGCACAAGTATGGCAGGAATTTCAGTGCGACGCGGCTTTCTTCCGACGTGAAAAACTCAAATAGCTACGAAAGACACAAAAGGAAGGATCGTCATCCAAGCAACCAACGTCGACGAGGACATCCATTAGAATTCAAGAGGGTCAGAGTGAAATGGACACAGACAGTCCTGAGTGGTCCATGGCGATCGAGGCATGGGGTTGCTACCTTCGGGCGCATCCAAATCGGCCGCTCCGCCAATTTTTCATGGAGCAAATTCATGATATGGTCCTCCATTTGCTTTGGAATGCCTGGACAGAACGTGAGCCAACATGAGCATGACGCAGGACGATGGAGGACCTCGTGTTTTTGGCATCCGCTGGACTTCCTGCGGAACTGGTGCGTTCGATCGAAAGTTGGCATACGTGAAGAAGTGCCTTGGGACTTGCTTTAGCTCACTCGACGGGGCTTGCGACTCATTGTATTGTGGGCGCTGCTTGAACTCGTATTTCAATGGCAAATCGACCCTTGAAAACACTTCGGGAATGAGTTCCAGGTCGTCCTGGGTGGTCGCTTGAAGGTACGTGCGTAGACGGACGTCGAGAGGTCCACTCGCGCAGCACTCTGTGTACTGGTTTGCTGCCAGGTACTGGTAGTCCACCATGCCTTCGCACACAAACTTCTCACTCGTGACCGTTGCGATCTTTCCCGTCAGCTCGCCATGGGATCGCTTCTTCTTTGTCACATGGAGGAGAAACGTCTGCGTCTTGGCACGATCGGCAAAGATGGGCTTTGCATTCGGCTCCCGTGGACGCAACTTCACGGGAAGGAACGGGGTCTTGGTGTTCTGAATCGTCTGCAAGTTGGCAGTTCCACCAAAGTACGCCGTCACATCGGCACCTTCCTTGAACAGCATCGGCATTTCAACGCATATATTCGCCGCATGCGCCTTGGGGATGTCAAGGTGCATCGTTCGACCTGTCGATTGCGGCGGCGCCGCTAGTTCCTCTGCCATTCGACGACACTGCTAACCAAATTCAACCACCAGGCAATTCACATGCCTAGATTAATTAAAATTATGCCTAAATTAGATATATTATTTTGTGTTGTGTCAAAAATTGAAGAATTATGTTATCGCTATCGAAATGCATGCCACATGCCACGGACAGAGACCAACTGGCGTTCACGTCTGCTGTGGGGTTGGCTGGTACACAATTCTCCACGGACTACGTAATATTGGGATGGTGCCAGACATACACGCACAACTTTAGGCATTCTAGATGCCAGAGAAATTTGACAGACGAATTGTTGAGTATTTTCGTCGAGAAAAATATTCTTTAACAGCAGGAAAAATTGCTCTGTCAAAATGCCAGTCGGCACAAACCAGACCCAAAACAAGCCGCTGAGCTCGACGACTCGAGGACACTGAATGTCAATTTGGATTGGCTAAAATATACCCATATTTTCCTGGCAAACCAATCAAAATCTGTTATCCGAAAGTGAGTAATCAGTTCATGTGAAATTTGACCAATCAAATGCCAATATTTTCGAACCTTAGTAGCAACTTTTTTGGGTTCCCGCGGCACCTTTGTCGAATACGAGAAGAAGACGGACCGAGCGACATGGACCACCACCCACCTGCGATCGTGACAGACGATGTCAGGGTGTCCATGGCAGTCTTGCCGACTCCTGCTGGAGACACTCGCTCTGCTGCTGCTACCATGTCTTTCGCGGGTGCCAGCGGCGCAGCACGGCTTCAAACGGCGTCGTCTCCGATGGGTAGAGTCGCGTCGCCGCGGACTGCCCGCCTTCTGCGGGACTTGGAAGAAGAGTCGCTTCGATCGTTGCCGCAGTCTCCACGTCAACAGCCACGCTGGAAGCACAACGTGACGTCTGCCTCCGTTCACAACTCACCCCGTCCCAAACCCGACATCAAACAGTCTCCTGCTGCAGCCGCGGTCGAAGAAAACTGTTGCTTAATATGCATGGATGACTTCACCGAACGCAGGCGACCATACCCCGTACCGTGTGTCGGGTCGTGCACTGGCGCCTTTGTACACTACCGTTGCATCATGGCATGGCTTGGGCAATCCGGCAGCTGTCCGCTGTGCCGTGGACCGTGCGACGCCCTGGCGATGGAGCCCACGCAAACGCTCGATTTCACAGGTACACACTTGACTCAGACGACCTACATACACATCTAAGGGCCGGTGAACAGACTTGGCCGCCATGGTCATGCGACCTGTTCCGCTCGATGCAGGCATCGTGCGATGCTATGTGAAGCAAGTCTACCGCGGCTTCTTCAACACGTACGGCTATGAGCTGTACTTGCAAGGACGAATTGGTACCGATGAAAGCGATCGGTTTTTGCTCGCTTCAAAGAAGCAAATGCGCAAAAACATGACGGGCAACTACGGGATCTACTCGTCGCCGGCGTGCGACGAAGCGTCGCGAGTCGGTCGCATGGGGTCGAACTTTCTTGGAACAGTTTTCACGCTGTACGACAACGGCCGAGACCCGCAAAAGGTGTGTGTGTGTGGCTCGTATCGACCGTGGGTGATGTCTTCCTGTTGTAGGTGGCCAAGATCCGTGACGGGGCGCCTGCTGCCACACCCGAAAGCAACCTCGGACCTGGCGACAATGTGCTTCAAATACGAGAGGAACTGGGCTGCTGCACGTATGAAGCCAACCGCACGAGCGTTGGCCCTCGAAAAATGCGGGTGCGTGGCGCATCATGACAACGTTGTGGCCGACGTTGTATGGACGAATGGTGTGTGTGTAGGTGTGCATTCCTGATGTAGACGAAGCGGGTCGCCACTCGAAGATCGTGCGGCCGATGAGCCAGCGCGACCGCATCGTCAGCCGCATGTCGACGGGCGAACTCACGGTAAGACTGAGGGCCCTATCATCCCTGACTATTGCGACGTGTGTAGGACCTCGTAAAGTTTGTAAACCGAGAACCCGTGTTCCGAGAAGATCTCGGCGCGTACTGTTTGGACTTTGGCGGGCGTGTTTCGATGGCGTCGGTCAAGAATTTTCAGCTCATTTCGGCGGACGACCCGTCCATGGGGAACGTGCTCCAGTTTGGCCGAGTTGCGGACGACATGTTCACGATGGACTTTCAATGGCCATTGTCGCCGTTCCAAGCGTTTGCGATATGCCTGAGCAGCTGCGACACCAAGCTCGCGTGTGTGTAGTCGGCACCTCGACACGTCTGTCCCAACTCAATCATCGTCCTATTGCTATCGAGTCGTCGGACCCACAGCGTGTGGAGGAGATGTGAGAGCGCTGCGCGTTGTTTCGCCGGGGCGACGTCGGCCTTCTCGTTAGAGCAGCAGCGATGGGGGTGGTCAAGCTATCGTTATTGCAACGACGAATGGCCGACATGCACCGCGTACGCTTCCACAATCGTGTGGTCGAGATGGAAATAGGCAGCCACGGGCTTGTACGACTTGATGTCCAAGTCGACAATTGCTACGACCAATTCATAGGTCTCGCCCTCCCACGATATGGTGTGTCGAGGCATCGGCCACGCGCCAGGGAACGGCGCGTGACGGGGAGTTGAGGTGGCGGTCGAGATGGGTCGAAGAGATAGAAAGACAGAGCAGTCCTTGAACGTTGTGGCGACAAAGAAGTCGTCGAGGAGCGCGCGGTAGAGGTTCAGGAATTCCCCCACCGACAGCGCCGTCCAGTCCTCTCGAAAGCATCCGAGCTTGGTCGAGATCGCGTGGGGCAAGTGCATGTCGAGTTGACGCTGCATGTCGCTTGACAACGTTGCGACAACATCCCTCAAGGGCAAGGAATCCTTTGCCGCGAACTGATCCGTCCCAGACGAAGTCGTGAGAGTGGAAGCATGTGCCATGGGCGGCACGAGCACGTCGTGCAGTTGCGTCAACGCAAACATGCCTTCGACGTCGAGGGCGTCCTTCGCGTGCATGGTTTTCAGATCGTCGAGCAGCCCCACATGAGAGTGTAGGATCTCGACAAGCAGGTCCATTCGACGGGCTTGAATGACTTGGTCCGTTGAGAGAACGCCTTGAGTTGCGACTGCTGAAAACACGCGCAGGTTATTCTGAGGCGTGGCAGTCAAGGACGCCAGTGCGCGAGCAATGCGACCCCTGTCGTTCGAAAACAGATCCAATGGACAGTACTGGCTCGATTGAGAGAGCTTGCCTTGAGCCTGCTTCAAGTGCTGGTGCATGCAGAAGCGGCACACCGACCGCTTGATGGGGTGGACGTGTGGTGTGGACGGCAGAATGGAATTTTTGGGTTTGAGTTCGATGCACAGCGACGCAACCTCTGGAGACGTCACGTCTGGTAAGAGCAACACCCACATCAGTGTCGTGTCCAGCGGTGTGTCGCGGCGGTGAGTTGGTCGGTGTGCGGATTCGAGCAACGCATTCAACCCAACGAGGAACTCCAGTGCTACTTTTGCCGCGCGCGCCACTTGGACGTACGCGTCACGCGAGCCTGATGGAATGTTTTGTTCAGCAAAGTCGACAATGTCCTTTGGATGGGCGCCATGCACTCCTCGTTTGCGCACCCGCATGACCCACCCAGCCAACGATTCCGACGAACCGGCATACCGAAAGATTACATTGGCGCCCCCTTCAGCAATATATGCCCATTCCGCTGGCACGGCAGTCCCCAACCAGTCTTGCGACGGACATTTGGTCGCTCCTTGAGACGACGCAGACAACGCAGCGCTTGCGGCTCCGCGGGGATGTGAGAGTAACATACTGTCCGCACGCCGTGGACGCGCAGCTTGCCGCCACTCCCCTCATCCGGACGTCACTTTGTCTTAACCGGTAAATCCCAAGTCGAGTATCCGATCGGAAACTTTCGACGTTCAGACAACAATCATCTGAGTGAGATATGAGGGACAATACACCGAACGTTCAGGACCTCCAACACAGAGCGCTCATCGCAGCAAGGTTGGTCACGCTCTCGTACACCGCAGGACGCATCGAGACTCCTTCGAGCGACTCAGTAGCGCTCCCAGGTTTCCGTGGAGGAATACACTCCTGCAGGAAACGACCCGAATTCGTGTGGGATAAACCGCCTACACTCTCATCCTCATCGGGACAAACCCGAACCCATCCACATACAGCACAACGACGGCATGCACGGTCGGCATGGCACTGGCAAGAGACTCGCCGCGTGCATCGCCCACGCCACGGGAGACTGACTGGCATAGCTGGCCAGGACGTTGTAGCTCCATAACGCGGCCTCGATCGTGCTCGCCGTGCTTGGCGCAGAACTACGCGCGTGCATAAACTACCCCACAAACACGACAGGCCGCCATCGTCGTACGATGGAGTCCGTCCACACGCGGACAATATAACAAAGCGACTCCACATTCGAGCCTTCCAGTTTGATGGTACATCGTGCCGTCTACAAGCCATGGCCGGCGCGGTGGCGTCGCATGCACGTGGCGAAGCGTCGATGGTTGGTGCATTGTGTGTCGGCTGGTTTATCGGCACGCGAAAATTGTTGTTGGGTTGTTATCTAGAGGTAGACATGTCCCACCGAACGTGGGCAGAATCGCGCTTGAACGTACACCGACGGTGCAATTTGTTGCTTGCACACGCAGAGTTGTCGTTGGCCATTTCACAATTGTCGCCCTCTCGACGACGACGCGGTAGCATGACGCCGTCAGCAACTACCAGAGTCTTGCCAGCATTTGGACCTTCCAAAGTATGCGCATTCAAGGGGTGCGATCGAAGGGCGCCGCCCGACTCGGACCGGTGCGCGGGCCATCGCACCCGCAAGCAATGTCGGATCGCAGGGTGCGCCAATGTCGTGTACGCTCGTCAGTTGTGCGTTCGCCATGGTGGAAAGAAACAGTGCCAGTTCCCCGGGGGATGCCAGGCTACGGCACAAGGCGGAGATCTGTGTCCAGCCCATGGCGGCGAGATCATCAAGCGATTCTGCCGCATCGACGGGTGCGACCGCCAGGCGCACGCCAAGCGACTGTGCGTCCACCACGGAGGCGGTCGCCTCTGCCAATACACCGGATGCCCCCACCACGCCAGGGCCGGGGGATTTTGCCACAAGCACAAGTGCACCTCACCATCCGATGACGACCTTGGACCAGCGCTGTACTTGCCGTCTTCTGGAGCGTCGTCGCCGTCGTCTCCCGTGTCGGTCGATTCCAACGCAGTGCTGTCTTCGACTATCGAGCACGAGAGCGCGGACCCAACGATTTTGGACCGTCCGAACGCCGACCTCTCGTCCATGCACCAATCGTCGCAAGTGTTGCCTGCGGCTTTGACCTCGTCCCCTGCGTATTCCGAGTGGTGGGCACTGACCCAGTCCATTCTGATGTTGCAATATCCGTGGCTAAAACAGCACGATGGGCTGACGATTCCCCGGACGCCGCCACCCGTCGACCCTCTCGTCTTTGTCCAACTGACCCAAGCTGTCCTCATGACCCCAGCGATCCGCGCATTCCTCGAGCAACGGTTCCCAGCGTCGCGTTTGACGGAAACCACCGCCCAACAACTCGACCACGACATTGGAAGCTTGGCATCCCTCTTTGCCGACGTTCCGTCCGAGGCGCCACAGCCAATAACCCCCCCCTCTCTCGAGAACACAAGGGACCGACCCTTCAAGAGGCGAAGCAGCAGCAGCAGCACCCTGAGCCAAATACTAGACGACTTGCCACTGCCCCCGTCATCGCCAGTTTCCAACGATAGCTTTTACAAGGAGCAGACCATATGCGCTAACCCCCCGTGACGGAAACAATCTATCGATTCGAAACACGCGTCCACCACTACTCTGTCGAGGCAAGGGCGGCAATCAAATCCGCCGCGGATGCGGTCGGACGCAGCTTGCCTTGCCCGCATGTCTTGCTGCCCCCTCCATGGCCCAACCCTTGCATGAGCTGTTTGAGCAACTACACAGATACACATTCGTCAGCATGGCTGGTCATGCGAGTGCGACGACGATCTCTACCTCGCCTGCGTTCACGAGGTCGTTCCCCATGCAGATGACGCTTTCACCCATCACGAACACATGCACTGCCGACGGAGTTAACTTTGCCACGTGCTCTGCTCGGCGCCGCAATGCCGTCATGTACAAATTGACTCGCGCCTTGTTCGCGTCGGCCTTGGGTGGATGCAAGTCGTCGATCAGGTGCAACTGCACCACGACCGACTCGGACGGGGCACTGGTACCCCACGTCCCCGTGAACGTCTTGGACGAGTCCATGGGGCTGTAGACAAATCGATCGGTCAGCGACTGGTTGAAGCTTTCGAGCGCCTTAAGGTGGGTCTGTTGTCGCGCCAGTTTCTGCGTCACCATCGCGGGAATCGTGTTGAGTTGGGCAGCAACGTCTTCGAGGACTTTATTCTTTTCCTGCAACCGCTTTACTCCTTCCAGACCTGCTACGGCCTAGTCACAACCTAAAGGTTTCGATTCCAAAATGATGTCCAGCTCACCTCGATACGTCGAGTTCCCGCCGCGACGGAGGCTTCGCTCACGATTACGAACGGGACCAGCGCCGACGCGGACGCCACGTGGGTTCCCCCACAAAACTCACTCGACATGGAGCCGACCTTGACGACCCGCACGAGATCTCCGTACTTTTCTCCAAATGCCGCGATCGCGCCGCTCGCCTAGGGATGCCCTGATGATTAGTTTCCTGGGCATGCCGCTCGTGAGGTACCAGGGCAGCGGCCTTTTCCATCTCTTCCACGTGAACGGCAGCATTTGCCAGCGCGACTTCATTGACACGAGCTTCCACCGCGCGCAGCTCGTCGTCCGTGAGGGCACCAAAGTGAGCGAAGTCAAACCGAAGGCGGTCCGGACCGACGTACGATCCGCACTGGGTCACATGAGGGCCAAGGATTTCCCGCAGTGCCGCTTGTAGCACATGCGTCGCAGAGTGGTGGGCAGCGACGCGTTGTCGGAAGCTTTCGTCCACGTTGGCATGGACCACTGGGTTGGCCGCGAGGTGGGCGATCGCGCCATCGACCGACAACGACGATGGAACTTGAACACGGACGTGGATCGTTTCCGGCCCCGCACGAATGGAGTCGGCAACGACCCACGGGTCGTCAAACCCCGCGACGGACACCCACCCGCGGTCCCCGACTTGCCCCCCACCTTCAGCGTAGAACGGACACGGCGATATCGCCAGTGCCACGACGTTTTTGGCCTTTGTCGCTTTCGTTGCTTGGAGAACGGTGGCCGCTTTGACCGCTGTCGTATCGTAGCCTACAAACGGCGTCGGGACCAGCAAGTGCGGATTGTGTGGCTCGTGGTGGTCGTCGACAGTGGCCATGGACGACGACGATCCCAGGACAGCGCCGCCGCCGGAAGCACCTGCTTGATGCTGGCCACGGACTACTTCGAATGCAGCGCTGTCCACAGTCGCGCCGGCGGCGGCAACAATGGCTTCGGTCATGTCGATGGACAACCCGTACGTGTCATACAGAAAGAACGCCTCTTGACCGGTCAAGTGTTTGCGGTTGGAGGTGTGGAGGAGCTTGTCGACGGCCTTCGTGCCGTGAGCGAGCATGGCGAAGAACGCCTTCTCCTCGTTCTCGACAACTGCTTGCAGCTGGACGAGCACGGCCGGGTCGGCTCCCATGGGAATGCGGGACAGGAATGGATCGTGCACCCCCGCTTGCTGTCCGAACCGCATGGCCCGGCGCAGGATACGCCGAAGGACATATCCGCGGCCAACGTTGGACGGAAACACACCGTCCGCCATCAGCGCATACGCCGTTCGCAAGTGGTCAGCCACGACACGAACGATTTGAATGTCCGCGGTGGTTCCAAACCGATTCGAACGCAATTCGTCAGCGACTGCGTCTTGAAATGACCTACAAGTGCTCCACGTTGTAAGAAGCTACAGGAACGACGACAGTCGACCATGGCGTCGCAGCATACGCGATGCCATCGCGTGACGCAGCAGCGACACCCCGCGAGATTTTTGTACCTTGTGGACGCCGAAGACGACTGAGCATCCAACGCACTAGCCACCGCGTCCAAGTGCGGGGTAAACACGTCTGTGTGGTAGTTGGAGACGACGCCTTGCATGACGGAGGCCATGCGCTCCAAGCCCATGCCAGTGTCCACGCAAGGCGTCGGTAGTGGCAGCAGCGTTCCGTCCGCCAGACGATTGTGCTGCATGAACACGAGGTTCCATAGCTCCAAGTATCTACACCACGCCACGTCAAGGGAAGCAAGCGGAGCGGTGGGTGCGAACCGATCGTCGTAATTTGAAAACGCGTCGCCTTGGTCGAAGAAAATCTCAGAGCAAGGTCCACACGGCCCCGTGTCTCCCATGGCCCAAAAGTTGTCGTCCGGTCCGAGACGTTGGATTTTGCTGTCGGGCAGCTGAGCTATCTTGCGCCACCTGGCAGCAGTCGCAAGCTCTTGTCAGAGGGCTCCATGAACGATTCAGTTCTGTACCACAGCATGGCTTCATCGTCATTGTCCAGCACGGTCACATGCAGCCTATCGATGGGGAGCTCGAATTCCTTGGTCAACACCGTCCACGCGTGGAAAATCGCTTCTTCTTTAAAGTAGTCGCCAAACGAAAAGTTACCCAGCATGTCGAACGACGTGTGATGCCGGGCGGTCAATCCCACTTGGTCCAGGTCGTTGTGCTTGCCGCCAGCGCGAACACATCGCTGCGAGGATGTTGCACGAGTGTAGTCGCGGGTTTCATGGCCCAGAAACACCTGTGCATCAAGGGCAAGTGTTGACGATCGATTGTGTGGACGCGAGAAGGTGATGCCACGCACCTGTTTGAATTGAACCATACCTGCATTCGTAAACAAAAGCGTCGGATCGGACGTGGGTACGAGCGAGCTGCTCGGAACCAAAGTGTGGCCGTGCTGCTCGAAGTACCGCAGGAACGATTTTCGGATGGACGCCGCCGCCCGATGTTGCATCCTGTCGATGGTTCCAGTGCGCTTTTTGAAGCAAGGGCCCACCGGATATCTATCCGGATAACTCAAGGGTGCAATGTTGCCATCTCAAGTTTGAACGGTGCGACCACCGCGATGGGCAGACGAGGACAGACTTGGCACTGCGTCGCATAAGCTATGCCTTCAACTCGTGAGGATGCAACTGCGTGAGGCGATGGGTCAGGCTCGTGGTCGTATGGGTACCATTCACGAGGTGTGCTTGCCTTATCGTACTCATGAAATTATCACCCCAACGATTCCTTCGGGAGCTGTCAGCTACACTCTCTGTCAGGGCAATCAGAGCAAATGCGCGCAGCTTTAGCCATCGAATGGTTTTCTCGTGTTCGTCAACCCGTCGATAATGACATCACGCCACACGTGGAGGTCAAACAATTCACCATGGCATCGCATCGACAAGATGCCGTTGAGAGTGGCGAATGCTTGGTCCATGCGATCGACCAGCACACCAACTGTAAAAGGCATCACACTCGATGCGTTCAATGCAACTCATGGTCGACCTATCCTTCTGCATGTGAACACAAACAAAAACGCAGAGGCATTTGTTGAACGAGTAGTGGACCTTTCGAGTGCTTGAGAGCTCATAAGTGCAGCACACAAACAATGGACCCAATTCATATCACAACGAGCGTTTGGAGCCTGTCGAACGATTGCGATCGTGCCTACAAGGTGCGACTGACTTCGCGGGAGAGTCAATATGGGTGGGAGGAGGTTAGCACCACAAATGACTCGCAAGTCGACCCTGTCGCCGTGGCGCCGCCGATCGAGCGTCACCTGTGCGAAGCGGGAATTGTAAGTGACAGTGTGGTCGAGAGTGCCCATACCAGGTGTGAACACTTGACGACGACGTAAGCGGCCGTGCAGTGCTGCGTGAGAGCACAAGGAAGTCGTCAAATTGGATGAAGAGCCAGGAGTTCTCGAGAAGCGTCTTGACCAGGCCAATGGATCTCTCTGCGAGGATTCATTCGCCTCCGCCACCCCCAAAGACTCAAAGTGCAACAACACAGTGACCTGATGGAGGAGCAAACAGTTGGCCGCCTTCCTTCGAACAAACAGGAACGCCCGACCGACATGGGCCCCGCCTCGATTGAGCTCGGGCATGCCACCTTGGTTAGTTTGCCGAGGCACCGAGACTGGTCGATTCCTCGCGCGAATTTGAATTTGACTTTTCAACGACATCGCTCGATGCAGTCGGAGCACATACCAGTGAACTTGTTGCATTCACGACCTCGAAAGGCATTCAAGCGTCCCAATTCATCAGCGTCTCCCGGGAATCTGCTGCGCGTTCTTCGGTGTAGCCAATGTCGTCGACGAAGTGGAGTGTGATTCATATCCATTGTCTGGTTATATTCAAACCAGCAGTACTGCGTGTCGACGTGTCAGGACTGCGAAGCCCCGCAACGTGGTAATGAATCCAGAAACTATGCGATAGATGGGGTTGACCTGTAGGCGGAGATACGTCGGAGTGACTTTACTGGTAGTTTCAAGCGTGGAAGGTCTTTGGGCCATCCAGCGCTCGCGTTGGTCGGGCAATTCCAGTTGAACGCGCCCATCACAAACGATTGGTCGGAATGAACCCGCTCAACGCAAAATTGTTCCCCATCACAGCCAAGAGCCTCAAGAGGTAGTACGCGAGTAGATTCACCGACAGGACAAAGACATCAGACCGAGAGCAGTCACCACTTTTCCGCCCTTATCACGGCTGTGTCGTTTATCGGAGTGGCGGCACCATCACCGTATGTGCTGAAATTTTCCTGACAAGAGAAAGAGTCGTGTTGGGATATGGAACATGGGATGGGTTTGATGGTGGGCATTCCCATTCCAGGTATCGATCGTCGTGAGCTGTTTGGTTTCTCAATCAATCGGTCGTGGTACAACTGCTTTCAACTTGGCTGCTGGTAGAGCTGTCGTGGATGCGCCACCAGAGCTCCTTCCCGTCGGAGGCATTGCCGTGGATCGGGATGTCGTAACCGATTCCGTTACAGACTGGAACTGCCTGACTTCAAAAGTCCATACTATTATAATATGAAGGTTCATTCCCACGACCATCTGGATCTGCCATTGCTGACATGCTCGCCACGTGCCGCCGTGTTAGGGCGACATACCTCGGTGGCCGCGATGCATGGAGCTTGCTGAAGGCTATTGGACGATGGAACTCATCGATGTCGACTGTCCATCTAGCCAACGGCCACGCGGTACAGTTCTTTCAGTCGCAACCAGACATGCCATCGTCGGCGCCAACATTGGTTCTGTTCCATGGGCTTGCGTCATCGCACCACTGCTTCAAGCACATGTGGCCTCACCTGGTTGACAAGTACCCCATTGTGGCGTTTGACTTGCCTGGCACCGCTGGCTCAGACGTGGAAGCTGCAGGTGCGTCGGAGTTCGATGCGGCTTGTTCATGAACGAACCTTGTGCAGGATCTACATACACAGCGGACGCTGTCCATCAAGCGCTAGCTGAAGCTGTGAAGATTGTACTGGACAATACCGCGACGCAGTCGGTCGTGTTTGTGGGCCATTCGTTGGGTGGCCATTCTGCCTTGCGATTAACACATGACTTTCTCAAAGAAGGTCGACAAGTGCAAGGCTTAGCACTCTTGGCGTCCGCCGCCCTGGAGCCGTACTTGCTCATGCGCGGTCTCGACTTGATTCCAGTCGCTTTGATAAAGAAATACCCGAACGTGGTCATGCAAATCTTTCACTTGCTGGGGTTTGCAGATACGCATCCGCCTCAAGAGTACACGTATGGCGCGTTGCGTGCGGTCACGACACTGTATGCCGTTCTACGAGACGAAGCGAAAGCAATTGCCACGGCCAACGTGCCCACCCTTTGTGTGTCTGCCGAAGACGATCCGTTCTTGACGAATGGAGTTTGGTCCGATCTGTGCGACACGCTGCATGCAAAAGTCGTGCGATACCCGAATGGCAAGCACAACCTGCCGAAATCGAAAGCGACCGACGTCGCCCGTGACTTGAACTTGTGGATCGACGACACTCAGTGCTCCGATCGTCCGAGGGATGCGGTTTTGTCCGTTCGTGTGGGCTGCCGTCATGGAGTCTTGGCTGACACCCCTTCGCCTCGACTGTCCGTCGTTGGATAGGCAAGAATGGTGTAAATCCAAACAAGGGATGTGCATATTGTTGCTACAGCGTTGTTCTCCGTCGGCATATGTCATCACCATGGTCGATGATAGCCCTTCTCTCCCGGACAAACGAGAGGTGTTGGCGCCGTTCTTGGGGGCACAGGGTGTCCGGGCACCATCAAACATTCGATATGTGTTGCGCAGGTTTGCTGAAGGCATCATGAACCATGTGAAGTAGAGCGGAAGCGATCTATTCGTTTGCTGTATTGGCGACTAACCCTTTGCGAACACATTGGGTATGATTTGGATTACAAGCATCGGCCATGGGGGAAGAGCCACCAGTCAAATACGGGGTCCATCGCGCATTCTTCATTCCAACGAGCATCCAGGCATGTATGTGTTCAGTGGGTTTTATTGTCGTCATCGGCGACATTCGTCCAAGCCGTCATGGCCGAAACGTCACCCTTGACAATGTCGACAAGAGATCATGTTCGTAGTGAAGAGAGGCCATCCTTTCGGTGGGCAATTTTGAAAACGGCGGCGTCCATCGTGTCGTTCAACAGGCTGCGGACTCCCAAAATACTTTCAGGAGCATCCGATTTAGCATGTCGCAGTGATATCTGCCGCCATGACAGGAGATGCTGTCCTTTGACGTTGACACAATCGTTTACGCGCTTTGCGCAGCCAGACTGTTCCCAAGGAGGATGCGCCTTGGACCTTCGTCGCCCCCCTCGACACGTCCACGATCGCCGGGGTCGATTTCCACAAAACTCCTTAGCATGCTGTCATGGCGCGTACCAAAAAGATACGTTGGCCACCTGTCATGGCGCTCCATATTTGCCTGAAACAGCCCTTCACACAATCATCCGATCATCACGAGAAGCGTCATTTTCAAGTTGGGGCCTTCCGTCCAAGTGAAGTCGTATCCATGCGCGCCGCCGAGGTCGCAGCACTGATTCTTCTTGAGCTCTTGAGCCCTGCGACCAGTGCATCGTGCTCCAACGATCAAGCACTGTCTACGGCCTACTCGACTGCCATGAACAAGAAGATATCCCCAGCTTGTGCGCGGGGAGGCGACTGGTGGAAACCTTCAAATGAAACGAGTTTGTTCATCACATCGTACCATCGATCCTACTTTCCGCTCCCATGCACGATCAGTGCATGCCGACAAGACTTCGAGGCGTCGGCTGCTGCCTTGAGAGCAGTCAACTGTGAGGAGGCCCAAGCGGCAGCATCGGCCATGGCTGGAGTAGTGCAATTGTGCCAAACGCTGTCACCAGCCCCCATGCTGCCGCGATGTACGAAGAGCGACAATGCAAAGATGCTGGACTTTCCATCGGCATGCGAGGACGTTGTCCCGAACGCCCGAACTGTCAACGCGCTTCTGGAAGTTCCTTTGAATCAGTTTGGCGCCATCTGCCGCGCTTCTCAGTGCGTGGACGCTCTGCGCACCGCCGTCAACACCCTGCCAGACTGTCGAGTTGATTACCCCAAGGACTACTCTGCCGCCGTGCCCATGAGCAAGAAGCACGTGTACCAGAGCTATCTGTCGTCGTTCTGTAGCCCAAACGCCGCCCTGACCAAGGACTTTTCATCGTGCTATACCAAACTCGCCGCGTTGTACGCCACCCCGTTTTCGGACGAGTGCAACACCGCCGTGGCCGGCAATGTATTCTTTTCACCGTCCAAGATCACCAACTACGCCCTGTACAGGGCTCAGTACGACCTGTATATCTACACCACTAAAGTGATTGCAGCGATCCCGTCGTGCGCCGCCGATTTAAACAATGTGGTCGCTGCGGCCAGCGACACTGGGACGTGCACTTGCAACATCACGTTCGGGTTTCAAGTACTGCAGCTCGCCCATTCCAAAGCCTTCACGCCAGCCCCGTCGTCCCCACCAGTTGCGGTATGCGACAAGATCCAAGAGCGCCAATTTCAAGAAAAATTGGCCGCGGCCGCACCGGTGGTGTGCACTCAAAGCAACCCTTCATCCACACAATGGTACGATGTGCTGCTGCCTCCACTCCCGGAAATCTCGACTGTGGCGGCTGTGCCTGCTTGTGTCGCGGCGGCCGTCGAGTACACGGCCACGTTTCCACCTTGCGACCTCTCGTATCCTGCCTTTGGCGACTCGCCCGCTGGCATTCCCATTGCGACGAGAACCATTCGGTATCTGCTGGCAGCGCAAACTTTGATGGCCGCACCGACGCCAATGCCAACGAAATCGTCGACTGCGGAGTCTGTCAAGCGTGGAGCTGACGGCCATTTGGTTTGGAATGTTGCCATGTGCATGACAGCAGTAGCGTGTGCCCTGGGAGTCCTATAGCACACAACATCGAACACCTGTCGGTCAAATCTTCAGCTCGTTGCTTGGGGAGTGAATGGTGCGGAGAAGTGCTAGCATCTATGCGACAATTTCCGCTGAAAGGACAACCGGTCAGGTGGCATGCACCTTAGCAGGATCGGAGTTGGGCATACATGACGAAGCGACAACAAGCAGCGCCCCGTTACCTTGTTGCATCCATGAAGCACGGCGCTTCCGCTGCACTCCACCACTTCCCATAAACCTTTCCACTCCACCATGACACCACATCGGTAGTGCCTGAAGCAAGCACAAACGTCGTCTCGGATCGTTGCTGTTGACTACACACGTATCTCGTTCCTAGTGTAATTTCACGCGAATGGAATAGATCGGGACACCCATCCACAACAATCTCCCCTCGGAGTGCACCAACTCTTGCGATTTTGATCAATCCTTGCCAGTCCCTCTACCTTGCTTCTATTCAACACGTTTACGTGTCCGCTTCCGCCGCGAGCACTTGCTTTGCTAATGGCAACCACATTTGGGCGTGAGACATTGGGTACCGCAAGGCGTAGCTGAGGCCCCGAAGCAAGAGCGACACGCGCGATGCCATGACAAAGTCATCCGCCTGGGATACAATCGGGTCGCGGGCTTCCAGTGCCTCAATGAAGAGCTGGATGTTGAGGCCCTCCGTGACTTGTTTGTCGTCCCGGTCAAACGCGACGCGCATGTACTTTTCCAACACGTCGGGATAGTTGTGTTTGGTGCGCAGGCCCATGTCGAGGGCGCTCGCGACAACGTCTTCCTTGGTGCCTTCGGCCAACGCGACAAAACACCGGGCAAGCTGGTGCCGTTGTTCCTTGGAGATCTTTTTTACTTGCCCGTAATCGATCAACCCGATGCGCCCGTCGTCGAGAAGCATGATGTTGCCGGGGTGGGGATCCCCGTTGAAGCATCCATTCACGAGAATTTCGTGGCCATGGACTTCGACAACGAGGCGGAGAATCTCGGCCAAGTTTAGCAACGTTCCTTCGGGCTTGTGGTCAGCGGCGTCCGCAGTGCGCGGGTAAACCAAGCCGATGGAGTAATCGTACAATTTATGCTTGGCGGAGGTCCACGCGTTGCGCACTTGGAGAAGCTTTTGGTACCGTCGTAAGTCTTCCTCAGAAGGGCCCGTGCGTCGAGCCAAGCCGAGAGCGTCCCGCTCGGCGTCTTCTTTGTCCTGGGCTTCGCGAAGAGCTTCGACTGTCGTGTTGCGCTCCTTTGCGATGATCTCGAAGTGCTGGTTGATTCCATCGAGGAGGCTCTTACCCTTCAAGTACTCCATGACCAACACGTCCTTCGTGCACAATTCGGGGTACGGCATCGGCACAACAAACGACGCATTGTACGGACTCGCTTGGATGTTGGCGCGGACTTCGGCCAGGTGGGCCGCTTCGCGTGTGTAGTCAAACTCGTTCATGAACTGCTTCTCGATTTCGTTCATCATGGGCAAATGGGCAGGCTGCGCCAACGCACAGAACGATTTGATCGTTCCAATGTCGTTGCGGAAGTTTTTCTCGGCGTCGGGGTACTGGACTTTGACCACGACGGTCGTCCCGTCCAAGAGCACCGCCTTGTGCACCTGTCCGATGGACGCTGCACCGAGCGGTGTCGGGTCGAACGATGCAAACACTTCGTCCATTCGTTTGCCGTACGCATTCTCAATGATTGCCTTCACTTCGTCGATCGTTTTGCATGGGGCGTCGCTTTGAAGCTGCTTCGCGCGGTCCAAGTATTGCTTGGGCACAAAATCGTCCCGCGTCGACGAGAGCTGGGCAATTTTGATGTAGAACCCCTTCAGGTTCAAGATCACGTCGAAGATCTCGTCCGAGTACCGGTTGTGCAGCCGTTCGTAGTACACGTCTTGTTCCGCGTCGGGCAGCTTCAGGATGTCTTCGACGTAGATTTGCGTCATGCGGTAATCGACGTACGCAGGCAGGACCTTGGCATAAAAGTATGCAGACCGGGAAAACCCTTCGTCCTTTTGCATGCGGTAGTAGATGGCACCTGCCGTGGCGCCAGCGACAGCAAGCGCACCTTTGCCCAGCGCACGCCAGACGCCACCCGACGACGGGCGCGGTTGGGTGGCCGACACAGTACTGGCCAACGTGCTTTTCAAAGCACGGCGCTGCCCATGAGCTACCAACCGAGACGCCGCGCGACGCAACATGAGGACGTGAAAGACCGCGTGAGTTGGGAAATGGGACGACACCATGCTCTTCACGTTTGAGTACTTCAAACCCTTGAAAGGTAATATGTGATGTGGATCCCGAAGTGCAGTATTTGTTTCAAGAGGTTTTTGTTTAGTGCCCACACAAAGGCGCTAATCATCGAGGTCGATGGCGAGCGTCGTCTGGCCGTGGATGCGCGCTTGTGCTTGACAGCGCCACCCCGTTGTCGTAGGTGAAAGGGATCGTAAGCATGGCCCGCACTTGGCTGGATTCACGGCTATTGTAGCGTCGAGGTTGGCCCACACACGCTGGATTGGCTCGATGGAATTGCCTGTAAAGCTGGGACCGACCCCTCCCCCCACTCGCTATGAACGATATACGTTCCGTTGCTCATGCATAATTCCACCCTCGTGCACGTGATGTCCATGGCCGAAAGGATGGGTGTACACCGCCACCGTGGGAAGGGCGATAATGCTGTTGCCACTGGGGGGTCGGCCCGGTTGAGCGGTCAGGTGTGAAATGAACTTTAGGTGTTTCCAAAGTTCAAACACGTGGAAATCATCCAAAAAATTCCCCTCCCGCGCTTGAGAATTTTCCTGTTCGCTTGTTCGATAGAGACGAGATGGCATCGCGATCGTGGTCAGTGCATGGAAGGCGCCAACCCGAACAGGACGAACCCTTGCAGCCACGCGATGGCAGAAGCGACTGCTGCGCGACCGAAAGAACAGCGAGTACGTTCGCGACCTCGGCGCTGTGTGTGGCGATGGGGCCAACCTGGCGGAGCTGCGTTCTCGACGGACGCCAAGAGACCCGTCGTGAAAAGACGTTGCGTTCGCTCTGAAAGAAGGCTCGATCGACATGAAGAACTCCACCTCAGACACAACATCGCGTGGTTTCGATGCATGCGTGTGGCGCTGGAATTGCCGACCAGATCGCGGCTAGTGCCCTCTGCCTCCATGCAACGAGCTGGTGTTCACAAATGGAGCAGAACATTTCACACGCGCTCCTAGCTCAGGGGACGTGGCGCGATGCATATCCCTTCCAAAACTGCTAGGGTTTGTGCCAGTTTGCCGTGGATTTCCATCGCCGAGTAGGCCAACGTCCCAAACTTCCTCCTGCGCCGGTAAAGCGCCGCTGCGCAGAGTCAACACGAACGATAGCAAGTGGGCTCGCATGATCAACATGCACGAGTCACTGCCGGCCGCCATGGATCTTGCTTGGCATGACATAGTGGTCGATACATCCTTGACCACGTCCACCGCCACGGGAAGCCCACCACCATACCTCTCCACATGGGCCGACGAAACCTGGGAGGTCCTGTACACAACGAACTTGCTGAGAGATTCGACAACCACACGTCCGACACAATGGCCGATCCAAGCACTCGCTGCTCAACTTGTGCAAAAGCAGCATTGGTACTCGGCCAGAGCGATGGGCGGCGACGTACATCCATTTCCCACGGAAAAACGCCGGCTACGAATGGTGCGCAGCTGGAGGCAGCATGCTTGTGGCCTGGGAGGCGCTCATGCAACCCCAGTTTGTCTAGGGTGCTTGTCGAAAGGTAGCGTCCAAAACGTGCTTCGTCCTGCAGATCACGAGGTTCTTGTAGCCGACAGCACCGCATGCCGCTGAATGGTTTTGTGCTCTTGTTCGCGTCTCAGCCGGTGCCGAATCAGCGCTAGATCGTTGCGTTGAACGACGGTGTGATCGGATCAAATTGACCGCAACGACTGGCAGAGCCAAAAGTACTTGGAACGAAACGACGACACCACCAGACGCAGCAACTTCTCCGACAGCGCGTTGACCCCAAGTCGACATGCAATCTATCTTGTCGACGGAGTATCATGACCATTGGCTGCACGACGAACGCCACAGGCGACGCAACTTTGCGAAGAAGCGTAAACCTGTTCGTGGACGGAACCATTGTTGACGAGATCAATCAAATCGTAGCTGTTCTGGAGGGGTGGTTGGCCACGCGCGGCATATCCTTCGCGCAACACGGCCAACGCGCTTGGATCCCCAAATGGTTCGATGGAACAGGGACGTCCTTGGGTTTGGCTGTCCATTGCACGGCGAGTCGTGGTCAAGGGTTCGGATTCCATCATAGGGACTCTTCGTTACGTTTTGAAACGAACACAAACCTCCACCTTGGCAAGTGCGGCTGCATCAGTGGTATCCTACGACGTCTTCATGACAAAGCAGTGTGCCGCATGAATGCGCAACGATCCATGCGTCTGCGGCGGCGCCGTCCGCGTTGGTGTGCGGCCTCTTGCGGCCTGGCGTCAGTGATCCCGTCAACACGGCGCTGCTGTTCCTGCAATCGCAAACGTTTGGGGAATCTGGCCGTAGTCGACGTGGATTGGCTATTCGATTAAACTTTTAGCCAATCAATATTGGCTTTGTCATTCAATTTCGAACACAGAATTTTCGATAAATTCTATTCCTGACTCGAGAGTATTTTAAACACGCATTTGCACCGGCTGGTGGCGTAAGCTTGTAAATTCTAACAAATTGGGAGAGACGGTCGCGAATAGTAAAAAAATTGGGCATATTTTTTTTCAAGAATCCAAGACGCAAGTCATTCTGTCTGTTTTTGGGTTATGCAACGGAGCGACCGGAAAGAACTGGTTGCGATGGACCTGCCAGCGCCCAAGGAAGATGCCGCCGCCGCCGCCGCCGCCGCCGCGAGCTTGATCGAGAAAGAAGACAAGGATGCCGTCCTTCCCGCATTTCTGAGTAAGACCTATGAGATCTTCTCCACTCCCAGCTTCGCCTCCATCTGCGGCTGGAACGCAACCGGCGACACGATCATCATCCACGATCCCGACGTGTTTGTCAAGCAGGTGCTGCCACGCTTCTTTAAGCACCGCAACTTGCCGTCGTTCGTGCGTCAACTCAACATGTACGGTTTCCACAAGAGCGTGCTGGACTCGAACAAGCGCGAATTCCGCCACAAGATGTTTCTTCGCGACAAGCCCGAGATGCTTCGTCTTATCAAACGCAAGGTGAACACAACGCCAGCTTCTTCCATGGTGCCGTCTGCTGCCGCCATGGAAATGAAGCGCGATGAGTTGAGCCATGAGATTTTAAACGAAATGCGCAGCCTCAAGGTGAAGAACGATCTCATGGAGAAACGGTTGCGAGATGTTGAAATCGACAACGCTATCGTGCGCAGCGACAACCTCAAGCTGTGGAAACAACTGGAGAGTGCGAAGGAAAAGCAACTGGTCATGCAAGAAAAGATGAAGAAAATCCTGTGGGTCCTCTTTCAGATCTACCGCGGCAAGCACGCCCAGGTTCCGACGCTGTCGACGGACAAGAGCGGCGCGACAATTCTCACGGAGGAGTACAAATGCTCCACTTCGTACATTTCGTAATGTTCATCGACGTCATAGGTTGGTCGCAGGCACAAGTCGACTGGGCTCCAACGAATTCCGCGACGCCCTTCGCTTTCTCGCCATGGATGATCCGCCGCTTCTGCAGGCCGCTGATGGGTCGCTGCCGACAACGTCGACGGACAAGCTCCAGCTTCCAAAAGGCGCATTGAAGAAGCGCAAGTTTGTCGAAGTTCCAACGATGAGTGCTCTCCCTGCGCCAGGGACGCCGGTCAACCACCTCCAGCACAACTCGTTTGCAGCACCTGCCTCGAGCGCCAATGCTGTGTCCAACATGCAAGATCATTTCTTTGAAATTCGTACGTGTGGTGCCATATGCGATGTGTAGTTGCTCATGAACGACTGTATTGGTAGTGGAAACGTCCCCACCACGCATGCAGCAGCTCCAGAAGACCATCAAGCCAAAGAAAGCCAAGACCAACATGATCGCGGACAACGCATCGACGGGCAACGGGGCTCTCAGTATCTTCTCGCCGCTTGGGACGTTCACGTCGTCGTCGTCGTCGTCAACAGTGAGCATCCCGCATCCAATGGTGGCAGCCGCGGCGTCGCCTCCGCCGCCGCTCTCCCTGGAGAAATCACACAGCTTTGACGGGACCCAGGACCACAGCATTATGCACACGGATCTCATGGACGACGATCTGCTCTTGCATGACGACTCGCTCAACTTTGGTGAAGTTGAGTCCGAGGTATGTATGCATGGCTTTGAGACGACGTGGGCTGACAGCGACGTTGTGAAGAATGTCATGCGAAAGCTCGAAGATTTTGAAACATCTTTGCTCAACGAATACGACGTGACTTGTCTCGACAGCCTGCTCAAGCAGATCAACACCCAGCCACCAGGACACCAGCCCACGTCCGCAACTACGCCTGCGACGCAGCCCTCCACCACCACCACCACCTTAATGTAGACGCCAGCGCAAATAGATATCTAAGTGGCCTCCCCACCAACTACCTTAATTAACAAACTCCTGAAGAGTCCGATTCGTGTGACGGGAAAATTGCAAAACATCCGATGGATGGCGCGACGTTTGGCAACCTCACGGGAGAGCACGCGCCTCGCAATGGAACGCACCGAGGCCACTGCACACACACACACACACAGCATAGCGCCATGTCGGACGGTGCAAGCTCCATTTTTCGCGGGGCGTGCCAAGCAGAGCAAGCATCACCTCGAAACGTGGTGCTTGCTGCCTAGTTCAGTACCCCCTCGCGCCGTCCCCTCTCAACAAATGGCATGGAATCACTGGAAACCTGTGGATATCGGCCAGCCACCGCGCCAGAGACCACACACACCTTCGATGCCGCCTTGCATCAAGACATAGAGTTATCAAGAGGCGGACCTTGCCGAGCAAACGTCGACGAAGGCGCCAGCAACACCTCCCGGGACGACGAAGCCCAGCTCGGCAGGCGAATCTTTCAAGTGGTTCGCCAATCACCTGGTTCGACGGGGCCAATTCATCCAATTGGAGGGGTTCTGCCACTGACTTGCACAAGTGTCGTGGAAGTGCGTGCGTCATGGTCGTCGCTCCGGTGCTTCTCGTCGTTGCGGCGTCGGTCGGCGCTGTGGCTGCCACCTCGTACCCTGCCTACTGCGCCAAGGACATGGCTGCTACCAAAATTCAGCCCCTCGATGCAGCAGTAGCTCGCAGTCTCCAGCTCGTTCAAGTTCAGGTCGTCGTGCGTCATGGCGCTCGCACGCCGTGGTCGGATCGCATTTGCTGGGACGGCTACGATGAAGAATGGAACTGCAACATTCATGAACTCGAGCGCCCGGAAATCGTTGCGCTCAACAAGACGTGGGCGGCGTCCCGCGAGTTTGAAAAAGTGTACACTCGCGGGGACAATGTCTTTCGTGGCACGTGCAACTTGGGCCAGATGATTGACGAAGGACATTCGCAACAAGTTTTCAATGGCCAGTACGTGAGTCAGCGTCATCGTGTCTTGACTATTCATTGTCCTGTCCGCAGACATCTCCGTGAGGCTTATGTTGGTCCAACTGGGCTGTTTCACACCACCGACGGCCTGGATTTGACGAACACCTCTGGTGCGTGGCGCATCGCACGCCCTTGTCCTCACCGCGCACCTGTGTAGATTTCTACTTTGAAAGCAGCGACATCCCCCGCACGATCAACTCGGGCATGGTACCATCCTAGTGCCAGCACGTGGAATCGCTCTCATCCTGGTTTAGATCATAGTCGACACGATGCTCCAACCCTCAAACGCTTCAACAACGTTTGACCGGTCGTCCAAGCCTGTGCCATGGCACACGAACGACTACGCTCGCAGCACCATCACGCCGAATCCTGCCATGTGCCCCAAATTGAAATGGATCGACGCGGCATGGCGCTCGTCCTCCGAGTACGTGAACTGGGTCAACAGTGCCGCCAACACGCAGTTGGAACGCGATACGAAGCGCGTCTTGTCCAACTACGATCACGCAACACTCTACGACTGCTTAATGACGTCCAAGTACGTGGTTTGCTTCCACTTGACGTGGCTGCACCTGTGCCAGCCCCATGTCCAGAAACTTACGTGTGCACTTAGGTGCACGGACCGCGCCCTTCCGACCGGGATCGACGACGACTTGTTTCGTCGCATGACAACCCGCGAAGAATCGGTGCAAATTCAGCAGTACTTGTACAACCAAAGTGCATATGCTCAAGCTGGAATGGCGGCATACACGAAGCGCATTCGCGATCGCGCGATTGCTGCGTCGCGCGATCAAGGTCCGCGCTTTGTCTTGTCGGCAGGTATGGATTTGAACCCACGTGATTTGGGACCTGCACCCTGCCCCACACTCCCAAGACAAACCCACACAGTCCTCTGACGTTTGGACATGCAATAGCCCACGACACAACAATCATGCCGCTCTTGGCTGCGTTGGGCGGCAGTGCGTGGCTCACTGAATGGGTGCCTTATGCAAGCCACCTGATTTTTGAGTTGTACGCGAACTCGACGTCTCATTACGTCCGTGTGCTGTACAAAGGCAAGCCGCTAGCTCTTCGTGGCTGTACCACAGGTTCGTTTGATTCAACGTGGAGCAACCTCGTCATGGGATTTTGTCGTAGCCGTGTGCCCATTCGAGTCGTTGCTTGACTTGACTTCGTTTTCGATCGACGAGTCTATTTGTCTTGCGCCATCGCAACCACAACCAGCGCTGCGTCCGGCCTCGGAGCCATCTGGTAGGATCGCTTCATGTGTCAACATCCATGGCTGACGGTCTGTCTGCTCGGGTGCTGTAGCGTCTGATTCAACCGCATCGGTGTGGACGTATGCGTATGTGGTGGGCGGAATCTTGGCTGGCACGGCGCTGGGTTACTTTGCAGGAGCTCGCGCATCAGCTCGCGACGGGTACACTAAGTTGGATGACAAGTCGTTGAGCTAGATCGGAAACGTCACAACCTGACCATAACACAGTCTTGACTCCAATGTAACCTGGACGTCTTCATACCCCTTGGAATAGATGACAATGGTTGGATATACTGATACGACATAACGTCAGGTAAGACTGACACCACTCAGTAGGAGTGGCGTCTGTGGGGCGGCCTCCGCGGCTGGGGGTGCGGCGGCCTCGGCTGG